GGTCACGAGGAGTTCTTTGTTTCAGCCATCGTATCTCGCCGAGTTACCGACGATACCCATCCACACATTAAATATCTTATGCGTTGGAAGGGTTATCTTGATGGGAAGGCTACTAGAGAGCCTCTTGAGCACTTGCAGCACGCCAAGATGTTGATGCGTGCATATGACCATGCTCGTCGTGCTGAGATGTCTACTCCTACTTCAACGACTGACCCTTTTCCTCCTCCTCCGATGAAGGATATCGTTGGGTTTTCCCTTTGTATCGCACAGGCATTGGACCGTAGCATTATCTTGGCATTCCTGCTTCCATATCTGACTCTCTCCCAGTCGGTGAGTTGAGTAAATGTTTCTCTCACCCACTTCATTCATCACCCCTAGTGTCGGTTACTGCATGCCTTCAATTCGGTATATCTCCCTATTCCAGATTCCCCTTTCATGGTCGATCATGCATGGTGTCATCATTTGTTTTAGCATTACCCGCCTTTATGTTTTGTCCATTGGAGTCATTGGTTTTGTTTTGTTACCATTCCCTCGCTCCCAGCTTAATGACTTATCATATTTTTGTGGGTGACCGCCCCTAGAGTTTCAAATTTAGGTTGCATTCGCCACCTCTGAGACTAGTGGTTCAACGGCACGATATTATCTTGTGCTATATTGCTATCCTTTCAACACTGAGGCAATCACCTCTATGACTTTATGATTTTATCATCCCACATTTCATTTCTTTGCTTTTAGTTACAATATGTATATCAAACATTTGCTTTTTTGTATGACATTGCGTATCTTAGGTCGCATCGCATGAACTTCGCATGTACATTGGACCTCTAGTTGATCTGGCCTACAACTAGGGTTAGTTGGCTCTTTGTCTGTTTGGCGTGTGGTACCAGGTCGTAACCTGACCCCACAATCCGTGCGAGAGTTCAACCTAGTGCTATCTGGTACCACTCTTAGTACCGGTCCAGTCAAGTATAGTTTATGGAATGAGGGATTTGAACCTACAATAATGAGTTTACTAGTTTCAGTCAATCCAATTTTGGTATGTCATAATTTATGATAATAATTTATACATACTTGTGAAATATTGGTTGAGTGAAATATCATTTTTTGATGTATTAGTATGGGGCTATTGTGCATGTGTAGTTGATCCACTGTTACTCGCCCGAAAGTTGGACCGGGGTTCGGACCCTGAACCATTGGGCATGACTGGCAATTTTAAATCCACCAAACCCCATTTCAGGCCCTAGATGTTTTTTTATATTTATTTTTAATAAATTAAGGACGACCTAACGAACCTATATCTAAATTTTCAGTTTCAAGTTGCTCTGTTGAGCAAAACAAAAAAAGAAAATTTGTAAAAGATTGAAGGGCAAAATAATTTTAGAACCCCCCATCGTATTGATTGATTGATTGATTAGTTGGTTGGGGTCGGGTCCCCTCCCTTCCCTCCTCCCCTCCCCTCCTCCCCCTCCCTGCCATCCCTCCCCAATTGGTCAATCACTCACTCAATCACTCACCTAATCACTCACTCAATCACTCACTCAATCAATCAATCAATACATACATACATATCGCATTTTTTATTTTTTTTTACTTGCATATATGTTTATTGATTGATCGATTGATTGATTGGTTGATTGGTTGATTGGTTGGTTGTTGGGGGGTTGCCCCCCCCTGTGCGCACATACAAACACAGATATATACACACACAAAAGCGAGTTTTTTTTTTCTCTTTTGATTGATTGGTCGGTTGGTTGCGGGGGGGGCGCCCTTTCATCTACGCACAAACACACACACGACGGACACGAAAACATTTTTTGGGGGGGGGGGATTTATTTATTTTTAGTTGATTGATTGAGTGATTGGTTAGTTGGTTAGTTGGTTGGTTGATTGGTTGCGGGGACGTCGCACAGACACACACATACGACCGACATGAAAACACTCTTTTTTAATGAGTTCTTTTTTTGAATTAATTAATTGATTGGTTGATTGGTTCTGGGGGGTCGACGCCCCCCGCGCACAGACACACACACACATACACCGCTAATGGGAGACCGCTAGTCGTTCAGCGGGCAACGGGTTCACCCACCCACATATATATAAGGGCATATCGCACAGCTACCGGTGAAATGGCACCGACGGTCCGGTAAGGGCATCCCCAAAAGTTGTGCCCTTCACTTACAGGGGCCTGCATAAAAGTTCCCAGGGTCCATGGGCAAATCAGGGTAAGTAGGCCGTCCATAGAGGTATTTCGCAAATAAATGTAACTTTCAGGGGCATTTCAAAAATTTTCTCTTTTTTTAATTATTTTGGTGGGCAGGTGACCCCGGGCCACTCTGATAGCCTAGGTAGTAAGTATAATTTCCAATTGTTAAAAATAATTATAAAATGTTTTTCTCATTTATGTAGTTGCTTACAGACATGTACCTAGTAATAAGTACTAATAACATTATTATGACATACCCAACAACAAGCAGACGCAAGTACATAAACATCTACCACAATTTTAAGTTCAATCTTTATTTATTTATTTTAATTTTTATTTTTTTTCCCTATTTCTCTTTCTCTTTTTTTCGTGAGGTATATCTGCACAAACTTCAGTTTACTGTATGAGTTGAAGTAATTACTTTTGACGCATTTCCTCTAATTTTCCTTCAATCCAAATCTCGTCTTGCCTTTTTACACTGTGAAATGCATTGTTATTGCTGCTGCAAAACGAACAAGTTATGAATAAAAAAGTAAATTGTGTTAAAAATGATTGATTTTTAAATTTCATAATACGCATAATATCCGTGGTCTTCGTATGGTCAACAATGTTTTATATGTGTGTGTGTGTGTGTGTTTGTAGTTCGTCAGGGTTGCGTTTTATGTCCTTGAGACTTCAACGTCAATTCAACTTTCAACGTCGGTGGTAGTTCGAAAGGGTGAACAATTTTGAGGTGAGGGCTTAGCAAGGGGCGGGACATGCGAAGGACCGGTAGCTGCCCTAGAAGGTCGAGGAGGGCGCAATTATTGAGTTTGACATTTGAAAATCGAAACGGCGTGGGAGGCCGAGGAGGACACAACCCTTGAGTTTTAAACATTTTGTAATCAAAACGGTGTGTGTCCACTTTTCCCGAATATAAGAGCATTTTGGATATAAAACATACGTGTTGTATTCGAATACAACTTGTACCCAATATATTCAAACACATACACATGTGCACACACACACACATACATTCTCCTGCCTATTTGTGGGGAGCGACATCTATTGGAAAATGGGTCCAACATCCCATGAACATCGTGAATAAAGCACCAGCCGGGGCCCCACATGACAAAACATACACACAACATACTCACTACCTTACCCTTCCCTAACCACATCAAGAAACGAACTAGGGGCTGCACACCTGTGCCCTCATGGTAAGTCAATTCGCAGCCTGTCATGGGTGTGTTTTATGCCCTCGAGACCTTCAACGTCAATTCAACTTTCAATGTCGGTGGTCATTCGGGAGGGTGGGCAATTTTGAGGTGAGGGTTTAGCAAGGGGTGGGGCATGCGAAGGAAAGGTGGATGGCCGTAGGAGGGCGAGGAGATTGCGATCCTTGAGTTGGACATTTCAAAATGAAACGGCGTGGGAGGCCGAGGAGGCCGCAATTCTTGAGTTTTGAACATTTCGAAATCAAAACGGTGTGTGTCCACTTTTCTTGAATAGAAGAGTAGTTCGGATAGAAAACGTACGCGGTGTATTGGAATACAACGTGTACCCTTTCTATTCAAATTTTGTGAAGAAAAAGGGGTAACTATGCGGGAGTCACAAAAACAGTTTGAAATTACAGTTTGGGCCAAAACGAGTTTCAAATTGCAGTTCGGGCACTATACCTGACCGGAAGCTGGTTTGTATACATTGCCCGAAGTGCAATTTGAAACTCGTTTGAAACTCGTTTTGACCCGAAGTGTAATTTGAAACTCGTTTGGATCTGAAGTGTATTTTCAAACTGCTTTGTGACTCCCGTGTAGTTACCCCAAAGAAAAAACTATTGTATTCCAATAGAACATTACCTTTTCTCTTCTTTTTTGGAAGTCAGCCCTTGCCCTTGTGCTCCCCTTGCATGCTTTAGCTCTCTCTCTCTCTCTCTCTCTCTGACACACACACACACACACACACACACACACAACCTGCCTATTGGTGGGGAGCGGCACCAGCTGGAAACTGGGTTCGGCATCCCATGAACATGGTCAATAAAGCACCAGTGGGGACCCCACACACACTCACTCTTCGACTTGTGTATAGCAAACATGAGAAAACATATGCACAGCATAATCACTACCTTACCCTTCCCCAACTACATCAACAAACTGTGTGTGTGTGTGTGTGGGGGTGTGTGTGTGTGTGTGTGTGTGTGTGTGTGTGTGTG